TTTTTATTCAACCCCGTCACCAGAAGACAGCGATGGCATTTGAGTTCGTCGTTTGAAAATATGGCACTCGAAGTGGGGAAACTGAAAAATTACTATAAGACGTGAGACGTATTATTATGTGCAATTCGTCCAGATTATTTTCGAGGAGCTCATTTTGAGTTCCGTAATGAATAATTGCATGAACTAATCAACTAGTTGTCAATTGAGTGATGACCATTAGGGCGATTTAAGACTATATTTCTTAACATACTGTATAGAGTGATGATACATATTTAGAAGGTTTCATCCATTTCAGGAACTAACGCTGTCATCCTATATCATTATGCAGACGAAAAGTAAAAACGAAAGATATTAACTTTAAAATTGCCAATTAAAATGGTGATCATAATGATGCCATTAAGCGTACACGTCTCCTACATAATAAATCTTGCTGTAACATCCCTTTTTTATGTTTCGAGATTTTTAATAAAGTTGAATGATGCTTATGAAATACGCTCATCTCTTTACCTAGTATACATATCGCAAAACAAGGTGTCATGTATCCTCGTTTGCGGAAGAATGGAAACTCATGTCATACTATTGATACTTGACTATTTACCTCATACCACACTAATTTCATGAGTAAATATAATATAATTGGAAATTGCTTTATTAACACACAATTTTGTAGATGATATGGTTTCTTTTGTGTACAGATTAACACAGATCTTATAGAAAATATACATTATCCTATTTAATGTTTATTATCTTTAGGATGTATGATTTATGATCAAAACAGTCAGACAATTTTACAACTTTGTGAAAAAACGGTTGAAAAACGTAATAATAATAATAATAATAACAATAATGATAATAATAATAGGGATGATATTAATAATAATTATAAAATCGATTGTCAGGAGCGCAAAAAAAGAAAAAAAGTACCGCAGCGCTTACGAAATAACAGAATGTTAAGAGAAACATAAGAGTCTTAAAATAGGTAAATTATAATTACTGAGAGAAGAAGTATGTTTCTGTTGAAAGTGGCAAGACAGATTAATTCTCCGATGAAGGGGGATATCAAACATGCGATTAAACATGGCTTAATGAACGATTATTTTGTAATATCAACACTTCGGCACGGGGACGTTTTATTCCCATGGGTGACAGTTTATCGAGTGACTATAGATTGACCCCCTGATGAGCACATTCTAATGAGAGAAATTCATTTTCGACAGCTTGTTGAAATGATACTCGTTAAAAATTCCAAAGAAATGGGCATGATGAAGCTGACGGGACCCAGCTGAGTTAGTGTGAAATCTGTCGCTTCTTGTCACTAATTAGGACGTGTAAGAGATTTGACAGGTCGAGGGGGCTTCCCAGAAATGCCTTGATAAGAGTAGTATACGTCGCAAGTAGATAGTGGGATGTTGAGGCGCACCCTAATAACACCTTGTTATTATACAATAGTGTATGTCGAAGAGCTTTTTTTTTTTTTATTATATTCGTCTGCATTACAATCGATGTACATCGGGTGTTCATCATGGTTTTTATATCATAATTTCATATTAATAATCTATATTTACGAATCAGAACGCTGCAGCATGCATGATATCAAATCAAAGTGTATCACAAATTTCCTAAATATATCAAATCCACAGATTGCATTATTATTTATTGTTTTTCAAGACTTTTTATAACCATGATTATAAACTCAAACTTGGCAGCTCCAATTATAGATTTTGTCAATTAAAGAGTAAATCCTATTATGTATGAATGTCATTATCTCTACATATGATTACTACTGCCGCTACTAGTACTACTACTACTTCTACTACAACTACTACTAATAATACTATTATGACGACTACATGTACGACTACTACTACTAATGCTACCACCACCACCACTACTACTACTACCACTACTATTACTACTACCACTGCTACTACTACTACTACTACTACTACTACTACTGCTATATACTACTCACTACTCACTTTATCAAGGTGCATCCGTTCATTATTATGCAGAAAAATACAAACAAAAACAGCTGTTATGATTATCAATATACACCCAGTCATCCACACTTAATACACACCTGCAACTCTCCTGGTATTATTCCATTAATATGTGCATTAATGCCTCTGGATGTCACAGTAACGAAACATCAATCCCGGCAGAAGTTTGCCCCAAATTCAGCTCCACATGTATAGTCTAGCATAACATCTTGGGACATGTATCCACCACCGTTCCTCACAAACAACTGCCAACAACAGCCATTCGAAACCAAACAACCCCCGAAACTATACCAGAGCTCACAGAGCAATGCGATCTATTGTCATCGTTGTGGACCCACTCATATGATACAATGTACCTAAGAGCGTCTGGGGGTGTATTACCGTACATTCATTTATCGATCCACTTGGCTACATTATCATTAGTAAGCTCTTCAGCCGTGACTTCACTCCTAGCCTCCGGGTATTGATTGGTGAAAAGGACCTATCCTCTTTTCTTCCTGCATGGCCCGGAACAAAATACCGGTCGCATGAATGAATTGCGTTCTGTACACGCTCTTCAAAGCAATGTTGCGATTAGGGGTTCATGATAGCCCATTTAGGGTCTTATGCTGGGTTTGATGAGGGGGTTGAGAGATCGATATGGGGGTCAGTGGAAGACTTGATTGACTGATCTATTTGGGAGCATTCCGTGGATGGATTAAGGTATTATCATGACCTAGAAATGTGTCTCGGGATTGACATCTCGACAAAGATTGTGAGAATCTATTGGGGTATAATTACCACCTTAGCTGGCTCTAATGGAAGTTCTATTGAGCTGAAAATTGTGAAACTTTACACAATAACGTCATTCTATTCGTTTTCAAATAGCAATCGAATGTTGTTAATGGAAGGATTATACCATCATCTGATTAAGATACGAGTTTTATTTTGTTGAATTCCAATGATTTCTATAAAAGGTATCTTGTTTTACTCCTGTTAGCCTTATGCTCCCCTCCCACAATTTCGAAATTCTGCCATATACCATTGTGTCCAAATCAAAGGGCTTTTAAAGTTGTGGAAACTTTCGGTTTCATCAGGTTTATAAATTATGTAGACCGCTTGCACACAGACGTTTATGTGCTTATGAACACGAACATTCGTGGCGATACTCATGAAACCTACACGGATATTGAAAATTGTGATAATTCAATACCAGATATGATTCCACTATTATGCGGTTATTACTCATGTCGCCCTTCTTTCCCCTCATCACTGTATACATCAGTGTACATAATGCATGGTGCATTTTACAAAGTAAATACACCTATCAAATTTATGTACAATGTATCACTGCCCTCTGCAAACAGATGCCCGGCATCCCTATTTTCTGCCCCATCGTATTTGGCGGGAAAAGGCAGAGGGCATCCTTTGCGATCCTCGAACACACACGCCTGCTTGATTGATGTTACTTTTATTAAACCATGCTCTAACAGAAAGCATCGCAAAATCACTGAGCAAACGAAACCCTGGTCGTCTCCTCAGCCGGAAATTCCCCGGTGAAGATGAATGACTTCGTTCGAGTGTATGCGGTTCGATGGCGGTGTTGACTCGCTTTTATTGAGGTGATTAGAGCGACTAGTGCGCTGGAAGTTTCGTTTCTCCTCAATCTGTACACAAAATCTTGAGTGAAACACGGACTCTACATGGACTAGACATAAACTAAATAACTTTTTACATGCCTAAAGCCTGGGAGAAAGAACCAATGTTTTTTTTCTTATTCTCTCGGCTCTTCAAGGGTACTCACACGGTAACTATGGTAACAGTGACAATATCCACATTATTATAAACGTCTAGTGACACAGACGGTCAGTTGGTCATAATGTTTATCCAACAAGGCATCACAACAATATGACCATTGAACTATTTGACAAGAGGGATATGAAATATGTATGGTAATGCTAGAAATGGATAACAAAATGAATCCATGACTTTGCACTGAATATTCTTTATCAGTCATTGAATCATCTTTAATATAGAAAGGATACATAACATGACGAAGCTTAGTCTAACCTTATAACAATGTTTACAAAATATCATTCCACCATATTCGAATATCTGGCGTTCATTGGATCATGAAGAGAAAACAACTCCGTTAATTTCTTGGAAGAGCTTAACGAAACTCATCAAACTGAATAACAGATAAATCTCCTTCCAACTCCACGAGCATCATTCCATCGAACGGCTAACATGATTTAATGATATCCAATTGTGTGCATCACTCTGTACAAACATTGCTTAGCAGACGATAGCGAATCAGTGGAGAGGGCGGGTTCCGTTCTGTGAAGGATCTCGCGAATGATCCGGCGCCAAAACTGACATTCGTGTAAGCAAGGGAATCTTGGGAACCCTTTTAAAGAGACGTTATAGATCTTTACTATGAGGACGTGTCTGATGACTCGTAAATTGGCAACCTTTCTGGACTTGTCTTCATTTGGTGATATCAAACTGTTTCATTATCCACAGACGACTGACGATGATTATTGTGTTTGGTCAAGGTTTTAACTACAACCACGCAGATCTAAAGTGGTATCACAATTGGGCAGTAGTAATTAATTGCTGATCAATTAATACTATTTTGCTGTTTAAACAAAATCTATTTCAGTACACCCTTCTTTACATTTTCGGTAAGCATTGACTACACCAAAATATATGTTTCCATATCTCTTTCACATTGAACTAAGAGTTCGTTGAATTAAAATTGAAACTTATTATCACATTTGCAGGTTATTTTGGTTAGAAGGTTTGTATCTTTACCATGATAATATTGGTAGAATGATATACTCTTCCTGTAGTTACAAAATAATACTAATAAAATATTTGGAAAGTACAATGACTCATGGAAACAGCTTGTTTACTCTTGACTAATTGATGTTTATTTTTACCCCAGTGCTAAACGTTTTTAACCTCCATACTTCAGCACCGGACATTGTAAATACGTAAAATATATACATAGATTTGTACCTTTTTTGAATAGTTGTTTATCCTCGCGATGGTCGGTCTTTATAGTTTGGTCAGCAGTCCTGAACTAATGATAGGGGCATTCCATTCATCACCACATCCTGAGAGACAGGGGTTAAGAGACGAGAGAGAAAAAAGAAAAGCAGATTGGTTAAAAACCATCAGTGACAATCAAGACATTATTCCTCATTTTGTGGTTTGTCACTAAAAAAAATGTGCACGGTCCTGACAATACATGTATACTACATACACGAGAAGACATAATACATACTGATTTTGTTCAGCTTGTGCCCTTTTCCTGAGCATAAGCGAGAAAACAAAAACTCGACGCCAGTTTTCGTTACAGTTCAATTTTAAAGCATTAATTTTTTGTTTAAAGCCAGTTACGCATGGATAACTTGATAAACCTACTTCCTAATTCATGTGAATTAATTTCTTTCATAATAATATCAATGGATTAATTATATTTCACGTTTACACCACTATTCGTTGGAAGAGTACAGAAAGAAGTTAAATAATACCAACGTTGCCAATTTGAGGAAGAGAGATTCATTCATTTAGCCATTTTAACAAATCCCAGTCATTAATGTTCGGCATTTAAGAGGGTGCAATTAGCGGAATTAATACCGACATACATCCTGTACGGCCTTTGATCTGTGCCATTATGAAAGGGCGGCTGTGGAATGGATCTATAAACTACCCATTACCGAATGGCATCAGTAGCAATATACGTACACGTGATGATAATGATACTGGTAATTATATTAAATGGTTGCCATCTCTGCATGCTTTATGTTTGCTGTCATACACCCCCACAAATAAGAAAGGGGAAAAAAGAGTTATAACCATATTGAGCCGCGAGATGTAAGGTCGCATCAAACGACATTTTGCGATTATGGGCGATGCGCACTTCCTTTGCTAATGAATATTTAATCAAGCTCATAAAGGCTACTGTCACTTCGTCAGCCAATCAGAGAGCTTAAACGCATTAGTGTGGCGCCACACGGAAAGTGGGCCCCAGCAACAACAACAAAAAAGATGCGAAAGACACTCTCCTTTGGATAGCATAGAGGCAAATTAGTGTTGTCTGCCAAAAGGTATGCCATGATATCAATGGTGTTGTGATCAAGCATAATTCTCAAAGATAGAATTTGTATATTCACTTTACCTTGAGTTTGAAAATTTCATTTTTTTTTGTAAATTCAATTTTCAATAATAATTATATATCTTAATATGGATCTTGAAGCAAATACATGTGTATTAACCATGTTTTGCCTAATCATGCAAAGCTTTTTATATTTAAATATCTATAATGAATATATCAATGACATTGCGGTTTGTGCTTTAGGATTCATTGTTTAATTTGTAGTCGGTTTAAGTTGGTCTCAAAATTATGCTGCATTTACATTGTACAGTATTATATTTGTATCATAGTTTATTACACTTTATCCGATTATATATCTAGTTCTCCATTTCAGCCTATTTATCTGTCCTACTCTTTATCTGTCCCTTTTATTGTGTAGTCTCTTTGCCAGCTTCTCTTTCTCATTTCTCTATGCCCTCTCTTTCTCTCCCCTCTCTGTTATTATCTTACCAGTCCTTCTAATCTTCTGTTACATTTGTCTTATTGCCTTCTGTTACTCGATCGTTCTCCTTCAATTATCCTCTAGTCATCCGTTTCAATCTCTTCTCTTGTTTCTCTTGTTTTCTTTGATCATATCCTTGATTATTTATTGTGAATCGCCATTTATATGTATATGTTATGCTTTTGAATATATCTTTTGTAAATTCAATTTGTTTCAGCCTCTGGCTGCTATTTGAATGTTTTTTAATCAATAAACCATATCAAATAAAAAATTGTATTAATGCATGTACAGAATACTCACGGTCAAGACAATGGAAAAATATTTTTATAAGACGATTCTTTTTTTAACCTGGATTTTAAACTAACTGCGTTCTTTTTTGTCAAGTCATTAAAAACAAATCTACAAAAGAATTCAAATAATAATTGCAATTTTTTGGATGAGCTTACAAGGCATCAAACTTTGTTTATCTTGGAGCCAGAGTTCTCATGGTTCTCCTTTTTTAAAAGGTTTATACCTTTCATCATATTTTTATGTAAATCTATTAAATACTACAAAAATTAATGAGATCAATTTGTATAACGCTGCTACTAGATAAATATACTCTATTACCCTTAGATGAAAACAAAACTCCTAAAAGTGCTACTTTGTTACTTTGTATATTTATTACATATATAATATATTCAGTACTGAATAATTGAAATGAAAGAAAAACATCACGTTCTTCCTTATTGTTGGTGTCAAGTAAGTAGGCTTTAGATCATGTGTAGCTAAGAACTTGTTGGGTACGTCTGAAAGATTAATTATGAGTAAAGCAAATGTATTTTGTTTCCAATAATCCACTGTAAGAGATTTACTTGCCATATATCATTTATTACGAATGGGCCTATACTCTTGTATTAAAGCTATCCCTCATAGTAACATAAAGTAAATATGCTAATATCATTGGCATTTCTATGGTTTACCAAATGTTACTACACAAAGATTATTTGAAACTCAACGACATACAAGCTTGCGTCAGCACATGAGAAAATTTCACGACCACATGGATATACTGGGCATTCTCCTCGGAAAATTTCGATCACCCCTCCCCTTCATATTTTTTCCATGCTCCATCTTCTGCACTTCATTTGAAATGCTGGCTTGAAGTTAGAAATTTGATACTTTCAATACTGTAGCAAATCGGGCAGCATAAATATTTTCAGTCGCATATGAGAGGGACGGACCCGAGGCTGCAGCTTGGACGAGCTGAAATGTAAATAGAGGAGTCTTTCTATATGCCCCTCAACGGCTTGGTTCTTCCCCCCTTGATCGCATTCTTTACATTGCAGGGTACCCCTCGTTTAGGAGCAGTGGCGTAGCTACAAAGGGGCACGTGCCCCCATCGCACGGAGGGAAAAAGAGAGATGAAAAGATAGAAAAAGGGGAGAAGGGAAAAGGAAATGTGATAAAAAGATACCACGGTCACATTCAACACCCTTTATTGGTAGGCTTGTGAATTCACATCAACCTTGTAAGACTGATACCACCCCCTGATGTCAGTACCCCCCCCCCCCCCCCTTCGTGTTTCGACCCACTCTACGCCAATGAGCAAGGGGATGCTCAAGATGTACTTGTACTCCAGAAGTATTGCCCAGGAGTGTTGATTATTTTTTCAAGGCAAATGCGGTGTACCTTTGTGAATAATGTTTTCATTCGTTATGACAAATATTTATCATGATTATCAAAATGAGGTAAATTATTATAATTTTTTCCATGTGAGATATATTTGGAGTAAATTTGAATTGGAAAGGTTATTCAGACCAGTTTCTCAATTGTTTTGCTTGTCATTTTAGTTTCGGGATTGTGCCCCCTCCTTTTACAAAAATCTTGGTTCCATCCCTGCTTCTCTTAATCTCCTCCCAATACTCGCATAATGAAAGAAAAAAAGATCATGAATCGAAATAGTTTAACACGGGTGGAAATGGGTACATCAGGGTTTTCATTCTCCATGCGATGTCACGATAATCGTTGATTTATTGAGCCCAAGCCAATGAAGCCATATAGGGGTCATGTTCAATCATGAGCCATGGTAGCCGGCATGCAGAATTATTCCCATAATTGGAAAATGCCATCGGATCGCGACTGGATTTATGTGCCAAACGGAAGAGGAACTAAAGAGGAGGCCTCCAAACGACCAAGAAAATGATAGAGGTGCATATGTCGCTAAAATAAAATGAGGCCATCAACAGTCTGAAAAATTGAGCGGAGAACAAAGATAATCAATGAAACAAATCATAATTGCCGAATCGTGAATGATTTGCTGCTTCATGCTGTTAACATCCATTCGCTTTTTATAAACTGGGCAATTATTCATGAGAGAAGGAAGTGGAAAACATTTTAATTAAGGATCGATGATATGTTATGTTTATGTTATATAAGCGAGGACGAAGAGCATATATTAAATCCCTGTCTGTCTCCAAATTTGACCTCAGCTGACCTAAGATGTGCTTTATGATGAAGAAAAAAGAAACAGAATGCATATCAAGTTTACAGAAAGGCATCTTATTCCCTATATATCTATATATAAACATATATATACAAACATGAACACACGCAAACACCCCACACCCTTACATACATACATACACACGTAAGCCGAAAGGAAATGAGAGAATAACATAAAATATCCACAAGTAAAGTACAGGTCTATATTGGCATTGTTCTCTCTTGGTATATAGATTTTGATTGCCATTTGTCGTCATAAACGTAGGATTTTATGAACACGGAAAAACAAAACTGATGGAGGCCTTCAACTAAATGGCGCCTCTGTGCTACTCAAATGGCGTCAAACTCATAAGTGGACTGTGTGAAATAATTTGTCGTAATCATGGTAACATAGGGGCCTATACACAGATAACACGAGGTTGACAGAATGTAATGTCAAAGTACTGGCGTTGTGGTTATTCTTGCAAACACTACATGCCATTTTAGGATGAAATAACCCCTCTTATTTCGATAAGCATAATGTACTCATATCACTATCAATTATTTAACACAATTATCATCAATTAATTACTGTCGATTTCTTTGTCTCCCAAACTTATCACACATCCTTTTTTCAAAATAAATATTTAAAACTTTTAATAAGATGCGAGTTTGATTACCACGTATAAAATACATAGGTCGTGATGAGCAACGAGTTTGAAGTGACGTACTTATGAAGAAAATAAATTAAATGATTACTTTTCATAAAGGCAACGCTGGGAAGATTGAAAAGAAGGAAAGACTTTATTGTATGTTATTCTTTAGAACGGTGAATTCAAGGGGAAATTAGAATAATTCACACAACTAAAAATTATTTGAACGCCATTATTTGTTTCAGCCTACAGATACTTTCAAATATTTGCTCAAAAACGCCCCTCGAGAGAAAAAAGAAAGAAAACGATCTCGATCTTCAGAGATTCCTAACATCTTAGCACATTCCCTCGGCTCTGGTATAACGTTTCATTCTGATTGTCATGATCGTGAAGGAATTT